GGCTCACTTCACGTGTTTCCTCTTGGGGATCACTGTCCTTCACTGACTGGTACCCAGTGCCTCAAAAGTATTTCATGAAAATGAACACACTGTATGAATCTGCTGTTTCACATATTTTGTGTTTTTTTCATATTTTACGTGGAAGGATAACTCCAGTACTTGTTATCCACGATAAATGAAAGTGGAAGTCTTCATAAGCAAGCTGAAAACTTGAATCATATGCCAGGAAGCTCTCCCTGCCACCCACTCACGCTTTTTATAGTCCACAACCTACTCGCGATATCTTGTTGATACATCTTTTGCAATGTCTCTCATTGCAAAATATACCCCACTTTGATCCTGTGTTAACCAGCTGTATCTAGACTATTTCATACATGTTTTATTGCTCATACTTCTGAAAAGATCTTCGTGGCCCTAGCCTTAGATCATCCCACACATTTTTATTAGATTCAGATTTTTTTTTCTTTCACTGTTTTCCCAGAACCTAAAATCTGATGTATACTGGCACTTGCTTGCCAGGATTGCTAAATTAGCAAATTGCTCCTCTTTTTACAACCAGTCTGTTAGGTATTTCCTGGCCTTGAAGAGCCCTAATTGCTCCCCTCTACCCACAGATCAAGTCCAAGCTGAGGCTGCCAATCAATGCTTTACATAACCTTCTATTCATCAACTTAGGTGAACCCTGTCATTCCCTAGAATAAATGGTTCATTTCTGACATGTGTCATTCTGCCTTTTAAACTTTATTCATACTCAAACCCCACAAAAGCCTTTCCTTTTTCATGTTCATACAGAACTCACCCTTCTCTGAACTCCTACAGCAGCTCCTGTTGGTGCTTGTTTGAGCACTTTCGCTTTCATCTGGGTGCGGGTTTTTGGGTTTTATGTGTGTTTACATTTTGTCTTCCCAAATGGACCAAAATCTTGAAGCAGGAACCCTCTTTCACAATTCCTGTACATGTCTTAAGACACAGTAAGTATCTCAATAGATGTTTTTTAAATGAAGGCAGATTATCTTGATTAATCTGCACATGCTGATGGAACCACTTATTTACACTAAATTGGTGTCTCAGTCATCAAATGTTATTTTTGTTGCCTACACTGTGAAATGATACCACTGGTGAAAATCATTCCGCAATAAAGTCTTTTGGGTTTTAAATCAAATCCTATCTTAGAAAATATTATTGGGTCAAGATTCTGGAGTATGTTTCATCTTATTATTTATCAAAATTTTATTGATCAAATTAAGTACTGTGCCCCAGTCTCTACAAAATAATCTAATATTAGGGGTGTTATATCAAATAATACTTAAACAGAAATGAAGGAAATCCTATCACAATAGCCAGTGAACATAAACTGGTATTTATTTATGCAAACAGTGTAAAATTTCTCTGAATCTTCAAAAAAAAGTTATGTTGTCATATAAAGTGGGAAAATCTAAAGTGAGTATCAAGGTTTCATTTTTAGCTCATAAAAAATATTGAAGTAAAATTCCTTGCCACAAACACAGAAGAGTTAACCAGAGTGAGAAAATGACAAAAAACGTCAGCTTCTACCTTGGGAAGGCCACAGCTATTTTTTAAAAAGTGTTTCAACTGATAGGAATTCCAATAAAAAAGGTTAAATTTTTCTTGTCATAATGACATCTTCAAAGTCTATGTAACTTCATACCCCGTGAACTAGCTTTAGAACACACAAAATAAACACCTCATACAGAATACTTCGGCACTAGAAAACAGGTAATTCACATTCTGATAAAGAGCAAAAGACAAGTGCTTTATTATGAGAACTGTTCAAGTAAAATTTCAGTGTGCACCAGTGAAAGTGAATAAAGATTTGCATCGATGTTTTTTTTGAATGAACACTAGGTTAAAAAGGGGCTACATAGTTGTTTTTTTTTTTCCTTCCCCAAACACCATCCTTTGCTAAGGCAAAAATACACTTCATTTTAGAACAGAACTGTTACAGAAGAAAGCTACGTCACAGTACAGCACAGATCACCCTAGTCTGGAAGCCACCGTGGGATGGCACGTCACCTCCACTTAGAGCTTTCCACTGTAGGCTAGAATTACAGTATTCATCACAGCTTTATTTCTCTGGAAACTGATAAAGTTTGAATACACTTTCTATTTCTCAGGAGTGTGCAGATGGGGCCCATATGTTGATATTACAGCAATTACAACATTAAATAACATTGCACAGTCAACCTCCAAGGCTAATTCAGTATAAAATAACAAGGAGGAAAACGTACCTTTACTAGTGGTTTTTACATCACATACATCACTAATTAGGAAAGGAAAGTGGGCAAATGCCCGATTACAACGCTGCACATTGTTGGCATTAACGATGTGGAATAAATACAAGAAATCTGGCAAAATATTAAAAACAAACAGGTTACAGGGAAACAAACTGAATGACCACGTAAGCGCAAATCAATAATACACTGCTATAAATAGTATGTTCTGCTCAGAAGTCTCCTAAGCACTTACAGGTATTACTGGGTCGGGGGGGGATGAAGAGGCCGGAGGAACATGAGGCAAACATTCCCAGTGCCAGCTGATTCCTGAGGAGGCATTACTTCCTAGCTGATGCATTGACCAACACTGTCAAGGTGAGTCTGTGCTATGAAACAGTCCCAGTGTTACTGTATTTCCGCAATTAACGCCGTGGGATTTGGAAGGCAGCAAACCTAAGTGACAGTTTACGTTATAATAGCAGACGAAGGTTTGATTCTTTTTCATTTTGCTGCTACAATTAGCAGTGGGCCAGAAAATACTTCAACATTCGAAAGAAATCTGATGGAGGTTTAACTTCTTCCCCAGTACTTCTTAGGTAGCTCAAGGCAAAGCTATTATTATTTTCATGTACTTTATTTTAAAAACTCTAAGTGCCAACACTGTAAACACTTTGTATCTTCTCAACTAAACCTTGTCTGATAACAAGGATGAGCGCAGAGATAAGCAGGAATAATTCTGTGGATAATAAAGCTGATCTATTTATCAGCTTCTGGTTTAAATTTAAATATGGTTTAAAAATAAACTTTAAAAGTCCATGCTACAATTGTAAAGACTATTTCTGCGCACTTGTAATTCTGGACACAATTTTCAAAATTGCATGATGGAGGTAAGAATTTTAAAAACCCACCAGAATGTAAATAACAGAAAAACATTTTCAACTCAAAGCATCAAACGTACATTTACGTGCAGAAATCTAGACAACTATACAAGTTTTTAAGCAATCATCTGTTTTATTATACAACTCTATAAACATAAAATGAACAGAAATACACAATATACTTACCTGTACATGTGAACCTACTTCTTTAGCTACAGATATTTATTATAGTTCATACTGACTTTAATTTTACAGTTCATAACTATGTATAACCTTATTGCAATAAGGGCCAATTTCTACATGGGGAGATTCACAGGCCAATCACATTAGGCATTACCAGTACATTCAAAAATTGTACCTCATGTATGGATGTATCTTCCCTGATCCTGCAAATTTGAGTTTCTTTACAGCTTAAGCTCATTTGCTATTTTAGATGCAATGTTCTTAAAGGCAATAGATGTCCCGGATATTCGCTTGAAGCGGACCCCATTGAGTGACAGCCGTGGCAACTTGCAGACTTCCATCTCCCACTGCACGAGGCTATCCTGCCTGGCATCTCCATGGACACAGAAAAGCAGAAACCTCTCTTTCTGTTCATAATCACAGTTATTTGCATCTAACACTTTCCGGATTTCTCTCATCATGTCATTGGGGTCCATTGAACTAGTGGTCTTCATACTCCATGTGAACCGCAAAGAACGGGGCTTGGAATCTTTACCTTCCTCCTTGTCTCTTTCTTTTGGTTCCCCTGTTGTACTTCTGGAAGAAGAGGGCAAGGGGGAAAAATGGAAACAAAAATTCCATTCAGCAAAGAAATCAAAACACATGTAAAATCTAAGTGGTCATAGTTCAGTGCTAATAAAACTACCCAATTTGCAGACTACCCTCAAATAGAGACAAGGATTTACATCATCTTGCTGTTACAAAAATCAGGCCCCAGGACACGATCTGTTTTGACTGTTATTAATATCTTTGATTTAAAATAGCATATTAAATGTGCTTGTTTGTGGGAATTAAATTTGGTTCTGAAAGTGAAGAACTAAATACTTTTTTTCTCGATACTCACTTTAAGTTTGCAAACGCAGATCTTCCAATTTCTGTATATTTATACAAAATGAAGACTACTAGCATTCTGCTTATCAATGCACATTTTTGAAATATAAAGAAAAATTTCCTTTTCTCTACTCTTTTTGGGTAGGAGGAGGACTGGGGATAGGGATAACAGTAAGGGCTACAGATTATTTACACCTGATAATGTTGAGGAAGAACACTGTGCTACAACGGAGTAAAGCTGCCAGGTCATACCACACATAGGGGTGCAGACCTCAGTTCTTCTAATGATTTCAGCATTTTCCTAAAGACATCCTTAAAACAGTCTACAAGACTCCACATGACAGACACTCCAACTCTTACCTCCTATTATTTCCCTCCTTGCTTACTCCCATCAAGGCACATTGACTTCCAGACTATTCTTTGAACATACAGGGTGTTTTTGCTTTAAAGCTTTAACAGAGGCTGTTCCCTCTGCCATGAATGCTTTTCCCTGAGATAGCTGCATGACTGCTTTCAAATTTCTGCTCACTTTCTCCTTGTGGTCTACCCTTACCACCCTACTGCACCCCCAACTCCTACCTTGGCAGGGCCAACCTCCTTACCTTACTCTATTTCCCCTTCTATAGTGCTCATATTCTTTTGTACTATTTAATTCATTTACTTATGTTTATTATTTATTATCTGTCTCCACCACTAGATTGTAAATTCCAGGAGGACAAGGAGTTCTGTTTTGTTCAGATATGTCTTGTGCATCTAGAACTGTGTTGGGCAAATAGTAGGTGATTAACACTTATTTGTTAAGTGAGTCAAGCTTATTGGATTTTCCTTATTGTAGGTCTGCCATAAATAATACAGAACCAGAAAACCTACTTCAAATAATCAAAGAAAGGTAAAATTCATAAATTATTTATGATTCAGAAGGCCCTATCATTAAATTTGTTGAGTAATTATCCAAACACAGATGCTGCAATTTTAACTTGTTAATCTATCTCACTTATATGTGATTTGAAGAAATGATACATTTGTATTCTATGTATTTTATATCAATATTATCATATAATGTATATTCATGTTTACAGTTATATGTATATATAAATTTTTATGTATACATTTATGCATGTTTTCCTTCTCATTCCTAGATATCTGAGCTGATTAAGTTCTGCCAACCATGCAAGCTTAGAAAATCAGGAAAGGAGTAAGTAGAGAAAATAAATTTCCAAAGACTATTAAATAAGTATGGAGACGCTTTATCTCAGTGTCTCCTCTACTGTTCTCTTTCAGGTCCCTGAATCTGGGCCACAGCATCACAGGCCTCTGGGCGTGCAAATCTGACCAGTCATTCACCAGGACCACACGGACCGTGGGGGCTATGGAATTAGCTGCTAGGGTAGGAAGGCACCCAAAGACCCCTTGATGGAACACTCATTGAAAAACAGAATTGTTGACTAGGGAATTTAAATTGCTTCTCTGAGGTAATCGAGCTAATGAGTTGAAAAGTGAAGACCAGAAATTAGGTGTTTCATTCCAAGTCTAGTTTTTCTTTCATTCCACCAAGGAAGCCCAGTAACCTTAAGACAACAGGCACATACCAAGATATTTTTCTACACGTCTCTCAGAGGCATCACCACTGCGAACACTAACTGTAGAAGAGCCTGGAAATGCTGACAGCAGTAACATTGATGGATTCTTACTAGGTACCAGGAGCGGGTCTAGGTGCCTGACCTGTATCACTCACTCATCTGCCCCTCACAACAACCCCGGGAGGCAGTCAGAAGGAGGAAACAGGGGCACGAGCGTTGGAGTAACCTCCTTAAAGTTACACAGCTCGGTAGGTGGTACAACACAGCTCAGACCCACGCGGTCTGGCTCGAAGCCCGTGCTGTTCCCCATCAAGCCCAAGCATCTCTCTGAAGTGACAGACCCTCACTAACTGGTTCGGTCCCACCGATGCTCCTCACTGCTCCTTCATCTGTAAAACCGATACTCTTCACTTGGCTGTTATGAGGATTAAATGACCAGCCTGTACCTTACAGACAGTAGGTACTCAGTAAGCTTTGTTCAAAAGCAAAAAAAGAAAACAAAACAATGACCAAACAAAAGGGACATTTAGTCACACTGAAAAGATAAAGTGCATGCAGATTAATCACACCATCAGCCACTTGGGACATTACACACTATTAAATGTCTCAGAGGAAAATCAAGTAGAAAGATAGGATGAGATGCAAGAAGGGGGCTCAAGAGTGATGCCCAGGTGAGGGAGGGGCTAAAACAAAGTCCTACACGTTTATTTAACAGGCAGAAGAGTTAAAATATCTGTCCTGCCTCTCTTTGGCTCCCTACTATGGTGACTCAGATGCCTCATTCAATAAAGAAAATATTTCGGCTGTTACGACTACACACATACCTGGCACGGTCTGTACAAAAGACTACACAGGAATGCTCAATAAAGTTTTTCCCCAGCGCCCTGTGTTTTACACTTCAAATAATTTTAAAAAGGAGAAAATACATGGAGGCTTGTGTTCAGCTGGTCAAATTTAATGTCTGAAATGAAGGCAGGCCTCTGCCTTACTGAGGAACTGCTTGTCAAGGTTCTGAGATTTATATTGGACTCTTAATGCTGATGTACATTCAAGAGAACTGAATGCCTTCAATTCTTAAATTTCCCATTTATAAATACGAACACAAGCACTAACATGCCATTAATGTGGCTCCCAGACCAGAGGCATCAGCGCCACCCACCCCCCGATCACAAACCCTGGGGTGAGGGGCCCAGCCACCTGTTTTATCAATCACCTGGTTCTGACTGTGCTCAAGTTGGAGACCCACTGCTAAAATGAGTACACAGCCAGCCTTAAATGTCAAAAAACCCATAAAATATGGTGGGGTGAGAGTTTTAAAATGTGGTCGGCCACTGAAGAGCCACCTAAGATACATTACTAATATCAGATCTTCCTGTATCTTTGGATTCCTCCATGTTCTGGGTTATTCGACTAAGTCTAATTTTATTTACATTATTTTAGTGAGAAAAGGATCAGTATATTTTAATCTACTAATTCTTCTGCTAAGATATGTTTTGTAGGACAGAAAGGCTATAAAGCACACAATTCAAAATAATGTTTAGAAAACACAAAAGTTGATTAACTTAAACTTAATAAATGCTCGGCAACATTAGGAAAACCCATACCAATATAAAAATGTTGAATACACATACTATCTAGTTATTAGTTCTAGGCATGTTTATTAAGTGCTGTAAGAATTTCAAGAGGCCGTCTTCATACACAGGGACCTAGCAGCCAAGTATTGATAGTGGCTCCTCACCTTGGGGTGTCGGCTCTGCCACTGGCTTCGCCTTCACTTGGATCCCTCAAAACAAAGTGAAGGTTGAGATTTAATGATAAAAGTGAAAAATATATCAAGAAAACCTACATCTAAAATGATTTTAAAATTAACTTGTTGAGCAAACTTCTAGCATGACAGATTTCTGTTACTTGTCAGTCTAATACTATTTCTTACTGTTTTTCACCATAACCAACACTTAACTATCATTTATTGAGCGTCTACTGGGTATTGCCATAGAGGAGATGCTAGGTGAGAGTTTAGGATTTCTTTTTTAATGGGATCTTCCAATTCCCAGCCACATTTTTAAAGTCATAATTTATCTTTTGATTTAGTTTAGTTCAATCTAAAGTTAAAACTATTTAATAATTATCAACAGCAAGAATCAACTTCTTATTGGTTATTAAACATAATTCTAGTAGTCGCTCAATTTAGAAAAATATAAATTAACCTTGTAGTTAGAAATAAAGCTCAACACATACATAAGTATTTCCAAAAATACTGATTTTTTAATATACAAGTAACTTACTTCAGAAGTTATGCTAATGAGTCATGCACATGATAAAAAAAAAATATTACAGCAAACCAAAGCCTTTCCAAGCAGGTGAGTCTAGAAACATGAATTCAACCTTAAACAGAAACATTGATCTTACCTGGATATCCACCTGTGAAATAAAATCAGGAAAACTCTACTAATTGTTCTTTTGTAGAATGTCATTAATATTTTTAAGTCTACCAAAATTTTCATTATTTGTCATTTTCAAAGGTAATTAAGTATCTACATAGGAGTATCAAGATACAAACCAGTTTAAATATGTTAAGAGATGGCTTGTGATAGCAAAACACTATTAAACAGCTAGGAAAAATCATCAACTTGAACCCTTAAGTTAACATTTTCTTAATGTTTTAACTAGTCCAGAAACATATTATTTACGTAAAATGAGTGCAACAGGAAAAAAAATCAGTGCCACCGTCCTCACCTCCCACATTAATAAAACAACTCGTGGTTTAAAATACATGCTTTTCAAGGTCTTTAACCACAGGGCTTCCTTTTGACAAACATATTGTGTAAAAAACATTTTCCTATCTGAATTAAAAAGGATAATAAGGTGTATTTTCACATTCAAATGGGGTTTCTTAAATTTCTGTTTTTAATAACTGACATTTTCATTGGGAAGTATAATAGAAATTCAATGCCATCTATACAAACCTATTTTTATTATAGCACACTGAAATAAATAAAACATTTTTTGAGCAGGCTCAAAGGGAAATGCTTATTTCAAGTTACATGTGGATGAACTGATACATGCTGAAGGGCAGCCCATCAACTGGGTAAGAAAGATAATGATGTTGATTCCTTTAACAGGAAGGGACATGTCTCACTGGACTTTTCTGTACTATTTATACTTTGCCTTTGAATCACTGCTAGCAGACCACAGCCGAACTGTCAGCGTCATGAATGAAACACCCCTTGGACCCTACTTCCCCTGCTGTAACTATTGAAAGCAACTGATTCGCCACATCCTTTCCCATACCCTGTTCCTGCCTTCCTGGATGCCACTAGGAAACTGCCTGCAAGAATTTCTGCTATTTGGCAATGATTTCACAGTCTAGTAAGTCAGCTCCAAGTAGCCACAGGGGGGGATGTGGAATACACAGCTGGCTGCAGTGCAGCATGGCTCTCCACTGCTCAAAACTTAAAAACAAGCCAAATATATTACACATACTCAGCTGAACGAATCAGGTTATTCCCTATATAAGAAATATGGTTAAAAAATCATGAGGTTTGATATGATCTCCAGTTCATATGGTAGATATACAGAACAGATCCAAAGCAAATCATTCTAAATGCTATTTAAAAGACGTTTGAAATAGCACATCTACACCCTCCCTTGATAGATGACTCTAGTGTAAATCACCTTCCTGATTACAAAGTTCTTTCCTAAGACCAGAAAGCAACTCTCTCATGTGGTCATTTGGGCATCCAGCTTTCTGACGGCCCAAGCAGAACTACTCACTGGCTTCTCTGTGATAATGGTTTTCAAATCCGTGAATAATAGAACTATTCTCCATCTTTTTCTTAAGGCTTACTAACCCAAATTCCTTTACTTTTCCCCCTAAAAATCCCATTTTCCATCTTTTTAAGCCTTTAGTGGTACAATGACTTTGTTAGTCCCAGAGCCTGCGAGGTGTCCTGGCCCCCGAGGTGCTCTCAGGGCCAGGCCTGCCCGGCACACACCCCAGTTGGGTGTGGGCCCCACAGCGGGCGGTCAGAGTG